AAAGGTATCTCAATGATCCAATAAGTCTTCTGTATTGGGTTGGATCAACATCATCTTCATTTGCATCTTTCGACAGTTGCAGTCTTGGTTCTGCAGGTGTCGAAGTTAAGTTGCATTCTTCCATCTCAAACCTCTTGAGAATTTCTCCTGCATATCTTATTTGATGCATCATCAAACCTCTACTTCTCTTGTAGAATTCGATACCAAGGAAATATGAAATCTCACCCAAATCAGACATTTCGAATTCCTTGCTGAGATCACCTTTGAAGTCTTCAATCTCACTTTTACAACTACCTGTTATCAACAAATCATCTACATAGAGACATAGTATAAGCAATTTAATCTTGCTTCTTCTTACATATACTCCATGTTCAGTTGCGCACTTCACAAATTCCTCCTCCCTTAGAAAACTATCAATTTTCTTATTCCAAGCCCTTGGAGCTTGTTTCAATCCATACAGGGCTTTATGTAGCCTGTACACCTTTCTTTCTTCGTCATGTTTCACAAACTCAACTAGTTGTTTAACATAGACTTCTTCATCTAAAGGTCCATTTAAGAATGCACACTTCACGTCCATCTGACATATGTTCCAACTGTTTATTTCTGCTAGACCAACAACCAACCTGATTGTTTCGATCCTAGCAACAGGTGCAAAAACTTCATCGAAGTCTATTCCTTCTTTCTGTAGAAATCCTTTTGCCATAAGTCTTGCTTTATGTCGAGTTACTTCACCTTTCGAATTCGTTTTCACTTTGTATACCCACTTGACATCAATTGCCTTCTTGCCTTGAGGCAATTAGACAAGTGACCAAGTGTTGTTGTCTTCGATAGGCTTTACTTCTTCATTCTTTGCTTTCACCCACTTCGAATCCTTTAATGCTTCAGCTGCATTAACAGGTTCAACATCTGCATAGAAAGCATAATGTACCAGCTCACCTTCATCATCTATCACATCATCTGATGTAATCACACAATCTTGCAATCTTGCAGGCATGCGTCTTGTTCTTTGAGGCCTGCTTGTACTTGGTATATCTGCTGGTTCCTCTTGTTGAACTTCTCTTTCGACTTGAGTTTCTGGCTCTTCAAGAAGGATTCCCACTGAATCTTTCTTGACATTATCAGTCCAATCTCATTCTTTAAACTCATCTATGATCATGTCCCTACTGATCATAATCTGCTTTTTCACTGGATCGAACAACTTGTAGCCTCCTGTCGAATGATATCCAACTAGAATCATTTGACTTGACTTATCATCAAGTTTTCTTCTCAACTGATCTGGCACATGTCTATGTGCAATAGATTCAAATACCTTCAGATGACTCAAGCTAGGCTTCACACCAGACCAATATTCTTCTGGAGTAATTCCTTCTAGCTTCTTTGTAAGACATCTGTTCAAAATGTATGTTGCAGTCGAAACAGCTTCACCCCAAAACTCTTTAGGTAAATTCTTACCTTTCAACATACTTCTCACCATATTCATGATGGTTCGATTTTTCCTTTCTGCAATTCCGTTTTGTTGTGGAGTATAGGGTGGCACCACCTCACACACAATCCCTTCCTTTTCACATAATCTGTCGAAGTCTTTCGACACATATTCTCCACCACCATCAGTTCTCAAAATTTTGAGCTTTCGACCACTTTGTCTTTCGACCATAGACTTAAAATTGGTAAATACTTCGATCACTTCACTTTTCTTCTTGATCAGGTAAGTCCATAGCTTTCGACTGAAATCATCTATGAATGTAACAAAGTATTTGTTACCTCCTATCGAATTCACCTGGATTGGTCCACATACATCAGAGTATATGACTTCAAGACTAGCCTTCGATCTGCTTCCTGCATCCTTGCTGAAGCTATTCTTGTGTTGCTTTGCCTGCACATATTCCTCACATACCTCATTTGGAATGTCAATTTCTGGCAATCCTGAAACCATATTTCTTCCCTTCAAATCTCTGATATCTTTGAGGTTGAGATGACCTAGTCTATAATGCCATATTCATTCATCTCTGCTAGCTGCAGTCGAAAGGTACTTGTGCTCCATCACATTTAGTTCAATCTTGAAGGTTCGATTCTGAGACATAGGAGCCTTCAAGATTAATCTCCCATTTTCATCAACGACTCTCATCATCTTATCTTTGATTGACACTTTATAATTCTTTTCGACCAACTGCCCTATACTGAGCAAATTGCTCTTCATGCCTGGTATGTACAACACATTGGAGATTACTGACCTTTTTCCATCTTTCCTCATAATCATAACATCACTAATACCTTCAGCTGCTAGGGTATTATCATTTGCAAATTTTACCATATTTTACATTGAGGGCTTTATATTGACGAACCAGTCTTTCCTTCCAGACATATGTGATGAACATCCTGAATCCAAGTACCATTGGTCCTTGAATCTATCTTCATCTCTTGTTGTGACCATCAACATCATCTCTTCTTCTTCTTCTTCTTCTTCTTCTTCATGTTTTGCAAGCTTTGCATCACTTTCTTGATTCTTTTGTTTTTTTGGATAATCACTCGAATAGTGACCATACTTCTGACAATTGTAACATTGAATGTGACTCTTATCAGGTTTTCGACCACCATCTCTTCCTCTATTTGCAACACCACCTCTTTGATTGCCTTGGTATGGTCTTCTTTGATTCGACATGTTTCCTTCAATCTGGTTTCCTCTACCATTCGATTTATTGTAGCCACCTCTACCTCTGTCGAAACACTTTCCTTTGCCTTTGGTCTCTTTTGCTGAATGTGCCTGCAAGGCCACATCACTCTTCGATTTTCCTGCAACTCTTTCGTTCATTCTTTATTCATGAGATTCAAGCGTCCCTTGAAGCTCTTCCTTTATCAATTTCGACAAGTCTTTCCCCTCTTCTATCGCCACCACTATGTGGTTGAACTTAGGAGCTAAAGATCTCAAGATCTTCGACACAACAACTCTTGTTGTTAACGCTTCTCCACATATCTTGATTTGATTTACTAGTTTTGTAACTCTAGTGAAGAAATCAGATATGCTTTCACTGTCTTCCATCTGAAGCAGTTCATAGGTCCTTTTGTGAGTTTGTAACCTCACTTCTTTCACTTTCTTAGCGCCTCCAAAAGATTTCTCAAGAATTTCCCAAGCTTCTTTTGCAGATTCTGAATCACTAACCTTTTCGAAATTGTCTGGGCTGACACATTGATGAATTATAAATAATGTTTTATAACTCAACTTCTCAAATTCTATGTATTTCTTCTTTTCTTCTTCTGAAGTGTTTTCTCCAAGCGCTTCGACTCCATCTTTTACAAGGTCCCAAAGACCTTGACACCTGAATAAGACTTTCATCTGTTTGCACCAATTCTCATAGTTGTCAACTTTCAGAATTGGTAGGGTTGCTGGATAATTTGCATTCCCATAACTTGTCATCGTGAATTTTTCAATCATTCTTGATTGACACTTCCCTTGAATCGAAACAAAGCTCTTAATACCAGATGTTGGAAATCCACCAAAGTCTATGATGAATTTGTACCACAATGACAATTTAATTATGAGACAAACAAAGAAAAGAAGACAAGACAAATAATTTCTGCAGAGTTTCTCTCTGCTCACAAACTGTGAAAACTTTGTTATTCACTTGCAACTGCAAATTCTGTGAATACAACTTCCTTGACTTGCTTACAAAAATAGGGGTTACTCCCTCTATTTATAACTGAGCTTACACCTTAAGCCCAAAGTCTAAAATATCTTTTTGTTACTAAATCAAATCTAATTTATTCTAGAATTAAATCAAATCTATTTAAATCTAAAACAAATCAAATCTTTTCGACACATTGAATTACAATTTAACAAAATCGAACTCATTCTTCAGACCCTACCTGCTAAATTTGATTCAATAGCAGTTACAGTAAATTCGAGACATGCATTTGTCTCACTTGATGAACCGGAGTCTTTACTTCTCACTCAAGAGGCTGATATGGAAAAAGCCAAGAAGGAGGTAATTGAAATTGTATCAGTTAATCTCACTCAAGGAGTTATACCACCTCTTAACTTTCAAACAGATGAAATGAGTGATCCTAATGAGTTTAACTACCAATTTCCTGCTCCTGGTGGTTGCAGTAACAAATATCGGCGTAGAAATGCTCGTGGTGGACATTGCGGCCGTTGCAGTATGAATTTTTATAGGAATGTGTTTGAAATAAAATGTTGAAAAACAGTTAATGTTACGTTTTAGAAGTAAATTGATTTTTAGGATTATAATATTTTGATTTTTGATGAAAATAATTAAAGAAACGTGATTGAAATTGTCCAACACTTTGAGGCGTAATTTTAAAATCATACCATAATTCTGATCCGATGCGGTTGCGGAGACAACCACATCCATAATATTGCACATGCAATTAGGATTGTGAACCACAATTTAAAACCATGTTTTCAATACACACTTCAAAGGCCTCAAACTCTTGTCACTGTCAGAGAGGCTTCCTCCTTTTACAACCAAATCCGGTATCCAGACCTTGAAGCAACTCACCATGTTACTCCTGATCCATCCAACCTCATGGACTCCCTGGATCTGATCAGGTTCATGTAGGTAATGGACAAGATTTATCAATTACTTCTCTTGGATATATGTCTTTTCCTTCTTGCTACTAGTTTGATTATATATTAAAAAATTGTAAAAGGATACATGAGATAGTATTTTAAAACATATATAATATATAGATAGATCGATAAAGTGAGAGATACAAAATGGCAAAATAAATCTTAAAGTATCTATAGCTCGGTTTTTTCTTTTTTAATTTGTACTTCTTTTTCAAAGTTACTAAATTCAACAACAAAAATACTATATGGGATATGATTTCATTTTGCATTAAGTTGTTGATTATTGTAAAGTGAAATACAAAGATACCAAATCTCAAAGTTCAGAACAAAAGGAACAAACACTTTATTATATTGAAAGATAACTTGTATTAAGAAGACAACAAGAAAGCTAGAAAAGACACTGATGATAGTATGATCAGTTGTAATTAGGATTGGCCAAAACGTAACCCTCAATGGCCTTGAAAGCAGCATCACCCTTAGCTTTGCCTTCCTCAACTTCCTTTTCAATTGGCTTAGCGTCTCCTTTGGTGTGATATTTGACAGTCATCTTCCCAACAGATCCTCCATTTGGACCTTCAACCAATTTGGCCTCAAATGATATCTTCTCAACTATGTCTGATATACCGACACCTCCAACTATACTGTAATTATATTCAAACTTTGCATCATCAATGGCTTCAATTTTGTGCAACACGTACAAAGTTTGTCCTCCTTCAACGAAAGTGATCTTCTTGACAGTTCCAGGGCCACCATTTCCTTCGACGATTTCAACAGTTTTGATGGAATCAACAACCTTTGGAATGATGACATCAGCATCATGCACCACAGCTTTGAAGAGCTTGGCAGGAGGCACGGTTGAAGTGGTATCATTCTCATATGTGAAAACACCCATGCTTATTGATTTGAAGTTGTAAAGAGGAGTTTAAGAAGAAGATAGTATATGTTGGTCTGTGTGATTTATGAGCACTGGATAGCTTTGTATTTATAGGCACTCTGCCTTCTTTGCCGACCTCAATTTATGACCCGGCTGTTAGTGTCAATTTGTTGACTCTCTGTCACAAACATGATAAGTTGTTGGCCCATTGATTTTATTTTTCTATTCAAACCATTATCTATTTAATTTTCTTTTATCAACATTCATGCTGTTGCATAATGTTTTAAAATTATTCTCGTTTTAATAAATAAATTTTATTTTAAAATGATTATTATTTTCAATTTTTAATATAATAATAATTACTATTTTTTTAATTGTGTCATTTATTTTTTATTTTCTATATTATTTTAATATATAATAGATTTAATTTTGTAAAATTATAATATCTTATAATAATATTATTATATTTTTTAATTTTTATACAAAAACTTTAAATGATATTTATTTTAAAATAGAAAGAATAATTATTTTAAAAATGACATTTTAACATTTGGTATAATAAAGTGATACATAGTAATAAAAACTTGATACCGCTAACTTCATACACGTTGCATACACGTTGTATTGAAAGTGGACAACGGACAGTTCCTTGCAACAAGTTTCCATGAGTGTTACGTTTACTGTATTATGAAATAAATTATTTCAATTGCATTTTCATTTTAAATTTTCATATATTTTTCTTACATTTAAATATTTATTTCATTAATTTATATTTTATATTTAATAATATTAGTTTTTATATAATATATATATATATATATATATATATATATATATATA